CTTTCATTTATCTTCATTAACATTGATAGAGAAGTAGATAATTCAATAAATAACATTACATAAGGATCGGTCAATAAACTTATTGTAAAACATCAAAAATAAGTGAAAGAAACACAAATTAATCAATACTTTTTAAAAGCAATTAGCTTATTATCGTACACACGTTCACACACACACAGAGAGAGAGAGAGAGAGAGAGAGAGACACACACATGCACATATTCATGCACACACCGATCGATTTGATTTGTGAATGGTTCATATGATTAATCACTTTTTCCTCTCTTATCCTTATCACAACTTGTTCGAGTTTCCGCCCTCACTTTGTCGTCGTTTAATTTACGATATACTTTTTATATTTACAAAAATTGTTAAAAAATAATTGTTCCAAATTTTAATAAAGTGCGAAAGATTTAACGAACTAATCGTGGTTATAATATTGAAAGAGTTAAAATAAAAAAATCTTTGGGAAAGTTGTTTATTAGATATATTAATTACTAGTCTGTAGATATTTTTTTTGTTATTTGTATTGATATTATTATTTAAAAAAAAAAAAAAGATCCTCCCCGGCGGGGAATCGAACCCCGGTCTCCCGCGTGACAGGCGGGGATACTAACCACTATACTACCGAGGATTGTTGAACGCAACCACTTAATAGAAGATCCAGCCACGAATCTATTACTTTTTTTTTTTTATCGCGGAAATAGAATATAACAATTAAGAAAAATCGTGTAATATATATATATATATAAAGTATCGATGGAAAGTTATTATTTTTATAACGTGTTTTACAGTAATAAACATTTTTAAAATAAAAAAGTAATCGTCATCTGTACATAGGGAATATTCAATAGATGATAAATATGTGGGGTTGGGGGAATTCGAGAAGTGTGCATGTCGAGGTTTCTAGAATTATTAATAGACGATTTCTTTATAAGTATTACCAAGTAAATGTTATTATTTATTTGTCATATTATATGTGTATGGTATGAGTATAGGTGAGTGAGATAATATATCGGTTGACGAAAAAGAAAGAAACCGTTTCGTTAGATTAGAGTGTTTGTTTAGGCTGTAAGGTTACACCGTCTAGCCTTGTCGCCTTTGAGTGGCCCCATCGAAGTCTCTCGAACGTTCCCGATCCAAAAGTGTATTGTAGGCGTCAATGTAACTATCTAATAAGGAACTATGTTTTATATCTTGCAAACTGATTCGTTATGCAACTAAATAACTGATCTAATTGTAAGAAGTAGGAGCAGGAAAAAATCTATAAAGGTTTTGGACAAGGACATTAGGCTTTCTTTTACATCTCCGATATTCAGCACTCTTCTTTTACATCATTCTTTTACATCTGATATGCATATCTTATAACTTCTAATTTTTCTCTAGACTTAGAACTTTTCTGTTAAATCCAGTATTTCTGTTTAATAAGTCTGTATTCTGTTTTAGTTAATAAGTCTGATTTTTGTTTAGAAGAAAAGTTATAAGAAAAAGGGTAAGCACTTTATTTTAATTCCTTATCAGTGGGAAAAGTTCACTTTTTTCTAATATCGAGCCTTCCTGAATTCTGAGTATAATCTGTGAACGAAGGTTGACCTAAACCAGAGGAAACAACATTTCTAGTCGTGTAAAGGGATAGAGATTAACGTCATTCCAGGCCAAGTATCGGACGAAAATTCTAAAGTTCTATTTAATTTTTCACAATTATTTTATTGTTTCTTTTAGTCATATATTTTTCGCATTGTTTATTTTATTTTCACTTCGTTCTTCTTTGTTTCGAAAAAAAAGAGAGGAAAAAAAAACCCTCCCCGGCGGGGAATCGAACCCCGGTCTCCCGCGTGACAGGCGGGGATACTAACCACTATACTACCGAGGATGCTTGGTGCGACTTTGTTATATATTATGAATTAAACTTAACAGTATGGCACAAATGAGAAATTAACCCTTTGCACTCGGTAGGTGAGTCTCACTCACCACGCGATTTTATGCCGCAACTCGAGAAGTGATTGTCGCTCACCACTTCGTACGCAGCGGTAACTTGATGCGCGTCGATAGTTGTTAAAGTTTAATTTCTTCGACAAAGGTTCCTACGCTCTCTTTGTATAATCTTATAAAGTGTAAAATGATATTTCTTYAAATAGAGATAAAACTTTCTTATCAGAAATTAGTACGCAGTTACGAACCGGACTGCATTTTTGGTCTCAGTTCGAACCTGACAGCCGTGGCAAAGAATCTAGAAAAGTTATAGTTTTTGATCCATAGTACCATGAATCGTGGTAACGACATAAGCTCTAGTGAAGATGAGTTTGATTTAGAGTTGCTAAAYGAGGAAATTACAGCTATACACAGAGAGCTTGACGAAACAGCGAACGCGAGCAGTGATGAAGARAATGAGGAAGTAAGAGGTGTAAGAAGGCGAAAAATAAGAATAATAGACAGTGAAGGTGGTAGTGACAATGACAGTGTTGCTGAAGATGTCCCACAATCCGACAGTTCCGAATGGATTAGCTRTCCAGAATYCRAAGAAATACCCCAGAGAATCAAGCACGTGCTCGAGCTTCAACCTCAACGTCCAGTTTTGAAAACGACCGCTTAAATAAAAAGCTGCACAATATTCTAACAAGAGTTAGGAAGGATTGCAAAGTCTGCTCTCAACGAAGTACACCTGGCAAAAGAAAATAAACAACGTACTATTGTGATACTTGTCCCGATAAGCCGGGCATGCATCTTGGCAATTGTTACATAAAATATCACACAAAACAAAATTACAAAGAATAATGTTGAAAAAATTATCCTTGTAAACATCTAAATATACATTGAGTATTAAAATATAAAAGTTTTGTATGTTACTTTGCGTGTGTAATCATTTTATGTTAGCRDCAGTAAAGTCACGAAAAGCGCTACAAAACGTCTCGAGTTGCTGGTAGGTCCGCGCAGAAACGGCCCCGAGTGCAAAGGGTTAATTGACATTCTTTGAATTATTACCACATAGTAGTTCCACAATTAATATTTATCACATATGTATGTATAATAATTAAGGTCTTCAAACTAGCATTAAGAATACAATTAAATTATTATATATGTTACCGGAATAGTGGGAAATCAGGCAATGTCAGCAATATCCCGGCATTGTCCTCAATGCAAAGCGTTGTTTCGAACAAAGTCGAAAATTTATTCGTATCTCTGACATTTCCTAGATATTCTGTTAAATGACAAATGAGAAACCGGTAAAGTAAAAAAGCAGATATGAAATAAAAGAACGTTCTAATCGACAACATAAATTTATATAACACTTTTAATATCATTCTAATAACAGGAAAACGTTATTAAAAAGCTTTGTGGAATTTTAATTATTCATGTCCTTGTTAGTATAATCTCAGAGCATACGTGTATACATACATGTATATATAGATATACATAGATAATAGGTACACTTTGATATTACCATCCATAGGTACACGTGTAATTACCATCGTGTAATAATTACCTTCGTGTTTTGTTTCATGCAAAGTGGTAGTAATACTGTCATCTATAGTGTACAAAGGTCACAGTTAAGAAATAGAGAGAGAGAGAGAGAGAGAGAGAAAGAAAATAATAGATAGATACAGATAAACGGAAAATAATGACAGGTGATAAAAACTTATTATACTATTATATTACATTTACGTAATAATTGTCTAGTATTCGAAACACGACATTTAAATCCTCCTTTATATTGTTTTATTTTTATTTATTTTTTTTATTAATATGCAGATAATTTTTAAGATTAATTTATAAGATTATTTTTATTAATATGCAGTGGATTACTATTCAACGAATCTTATGATTTATTTTTTAATTAAAATTATTTACTTTATTATAATAAATTTTATCGAATTTTGTGTTGATTCACACTGTTTACCACTATCATAATTACTGGAATATTTATTTATTGCCACCTTGCCATCAATAATCTTCCTTCGGGTTTATTCATAATTCTTGGGACACTTTTTATATACAAAATAGAAACTATAATTTATTTAATTCCTATTTTTATAATAAAAATATTGATAAATTTGATATTTTATCAGTTTTTAAATAGATGCTTAAATATTTATAATAAAATACAATACATTCATTAAAAGTCAATATATTAAAAATTTGAAACGTGTAACATTTAATATTGAAATATTATTATATAATATATAATATAAATGTGTCACATATTGATATTTATATTAAGTTAGTATCAAGGAATCAATATTTTTGTCACACCAACTAGTAGATCTTTATCTGCAAGTTAACTTAGCGTGTTTGGAAACATTAAGGGTATCAAACCGTTTCCTTGCACCCAACTATACCTTTGCCTTTCCATTTCCCCCTCACGTTCTTCCCTTTTCTCTTATCTCTTAACTAGAAATCTTTGAGTCTTTAGAAACAAGCCACGCTTTCATATACGATATTTCGTTCTAACCATGAAACTTGCCATGTCGTGTGGCTCGTTTTCCAAAGTTCAAGTATCTAAGTAACGTTTAGGTTAGCATGAATGTCGCCATTTGTATGTATGTGTTAGTATAATCCTCTTTTGGATTGTCTCAACCAACTGTTTAGAACCTTTAATAGGTATTTCTAACTTCGATGTTACTTAATTCTACAATTTTATATTTTTTACTTTATTTACATTTACATTTACATTTTTTTCCAATAAGCCTGTAACATTGTGTAGTATACAATACGGTACAATAAAATCAAATTTAGGATTATGTAATAATAGCGGCAATTTTAAAACTGTAAAAATTGTTCAATTTCCGACTTCGTCTGAAGGCGCTTTGCATTGATAACAATGCCGAGGAATTACTAGCAATTCCGGGTTCGACGGTAACATATACATATCGTGATCACTATTAATATTTATTTTGAACATTATTGACCTGTTAACCAATTGAGCAAGACTTTTACTCATTGTTAAACAAACAAGAACATTTTGTTCTCAACTAGGCTAATATTATAATTATTTGATTACAGCCTCAACACAAAGGAATGTACATTCTCGAATATGTGTGCAAGCAACTCAACATTTTGGAAACGGACTATTTCGGACTTCGTTACGTTGATCATTGTAGACAAAGAGTGAGTATTAATTATTAAAGCTAAAATATTTCATATTAACTTAATTGTTATAATGTAATTATAACCAGTAACCATAATATTAATAATATTTTATTATGTCTTTTTATTTTTTAGAATTTATATTGATTAGATTTTCTATGAAATTTAATCATAGTTATTTTGAACTTTTGCAAGATTAAAAATATAAAAAAGAATTGAAGGAATGAGTGAAAGCTTAAAAATAATTTATGAACTTAAGCTGATGCGTTTAATTTTGATGAGTTTAGTATTTGATTTTTAAAATATAAATTGAAAAATATAAATTGAAAAATATAAATTGAAAAATATAAATTGAAAAATATGACATTGAATGTAAAATGATTAATCGTGTATAGATAACTTTATTACAATAATTACAAATAATGTCTAGTTAAATATATGAAATACGAAACATTTTAGGCATGAATTTAAAATTGAATTTATTAGCAAAAGAATAAAATCAAATTAAAAATAAAATACAAAGATTTAAATAGAAATGTATTACTTCAAATTCAGTATTAACAAAATTCTAGATCTCGCGAACGATTAAAATGATAATAAAATGTTTCTTGTCATCTCTTTTATTTTCTTTTGGTTTTTGAACAAAAATATATTAATAGATTAAACCAACTATAAATGGAAGAAGGAGAAAGAGATAAATAAATAAGTAAATAAGTTAGGCAAGTATGGGACAAGAATACAAATGAATAGAATGAACAAATATGAAAGAAAGAAAGAGATAGAGAAAAAGATAGATAAATAATAGGCAAGTAACACAGAGAAAAAGAAATAGATTAATAAACAAGGCAAATGTGGTATAGATAGATAGATAAATAGACAAATACATATATAAAGAAAGGGAGAAAGAGATAGCTAAATTGATCGATAAGATAAGCAAAAGAAAGGAAGAAATAGGGTAAAGAAAAGAAAAGAAAACTAGATAAATAGATTGGCAAGAGAAGTAGGAATGTTAAAGAAAGATAGAATAGGAAAATAAAGTAAGAGAAAGAGAGAGATAGATTAATTAATTGACAAAATAAAATAAATGACAAAAGAAATATTTTTGTGTATTTTTTTCGTCTCCACCAGTCACCAGTTTAATTCACTCGCGGAAATTCTGTCGTAATCGTTATTCTTAGGTCATCGATGTAATTCCGGTATTGTTTAAAAATAGATAGCTGGGTAGGGAGCCTTGAGAAAATATCGGTCTATTCATCGCGTTATATATCTATCTAGATATATATATATATATATAGTACTGTCTTATATAGTATGAATCACAAGTAACAAGATATCGAAAGATAAATCCTCGTTGAATTTTGAGAATAACTAAAATTGTAAAGAAATTTGTTAAAAATTAATTATCATTGTATAATTTGTTGTATGTTAGGATTTTTGTATACTTACGTATACATATAAAAATTACACGTCATAGACAATTTTTCGATGTTTTTGTTACTAATTCTAATTAGATATTGTCTTTATACACGTTTGACGTTTTTTAATTCACCCTGTATATGAGTAAATTGCAAGGTTGTGTTTGCATTAAATAGGAATTGTTATAGTTATTGGTAAGTTTTCATTTACGCAGAAGTTAACGTTAATAGTAGTGTGGGGAAATAAAAGACTACTTATAATCAGCAAGCATATATATTTATATATAATTAAATGATATTATTTGTTAGAATTATTTATGAAATAATTATTTGATTAATTAGATACGTATTTGAACCTTAAAAATTAATTAGGTAATAATACATACTTTTTCTTTTATATATATTATATCAAATTTAAGAATATTTTATTGGTTATTTTAAATGATATAATTAAATATATTGAGCGATTGTTGCCATAATCGGTTTTTATATTTTTTTAATGTCTGTGGGTTTCGTTTAATCAATGTTGGGTAGAATGAGGCGACGTAATATCAGAATAATCTCAATTTTTCAATAACAACCAAATGTTACTGATATAAAGATTCATTAAGATTTAAGATTTGATATGATAGTTAATGATTTAAGATCACTTTTCATTGAATAACAACTGCGATAATTGCAAAAAAAAAATAAATATGGGTAAAGAAAAAGAATAAAAAATAAATGAAGATAGAGAAGTAAAGGATCGGAGAATGAATGGCGGCATGGTTTTTACCACGCGTGGGCCAGGGTCCTTTGAAATTTTGATGCACGGTCAGTCAGTGTTCACCTAACTTTATACGCTTGAAACGCCTAAGGGCTCTCAAAGAGGAAAGTCTTGCAAAGACGATGACAACCAGTGGTTTCATTCAGATGGTGAAGGAAACCAGAGGAGAAGAAAGATCCTCCCACCACACCGTTTCCTCCATTTTTTTTTTTTTTTCTCGTCTTTGTACCTTTGGATATTTTTTTCTTTTTTCATTTTCGACACAATAAAAAAAAATTACGCTACTTTGCGATTAGACTATCAACTTAGATGTCAATTTGAAATTTATTAGATAAAAGAATAAACTGTTTTATATTAATTGAGAACAAAATGTATGTATACATTTTATGTATTCAAAATTGGTGAAAAATTAGTAGATAAATGTAATACAATTGTACAGCACTGAGACTGTTTTAATATAACATTTTTATTTATTTATAATTTAGACTAAATTTAAATAAAAATGAAATTACGATTAAATTTGAAAGAATAATTTGAAAACGATTAATAAAAAATAACCAACCAAAGTAAAATGTATTTTATTAATGGCTTAGATATTAAAATAATTTTTGCGAGTTGGTCCTGGTTACTTTTTCTAGGCTCTTAAATTTTAGTTCCCTCGTTATTTCGATATTTTCCACTTGCTTGTCAAGTTTAAAATAACACCGATGGAAAATAAAAATAAATAGAAGAGATGTAACCTAGAGAGAATTTTTTTTTAAAACATACCGATGTATTTTTATCTTTAAAAAACTAACTCAAGTAATAAAAAGAAGAGGAAACAACAACAAAAATGTTTATAAAAAATAAAGAAACAATATTATTTTCTATTAATTATTATTAGATAGCAGTTTATAATGAAAACAATTATTAATAATTGGTAAAAGATCATTAATTGATTTTAACGAAATGGGACAGAAAGGTCGTGAATGAAGGGATTTTATTGAAGGCCAAGAACAATGGCGAGATTTGATATTTGCGGTAATGAACTTTAAAAGTTCTCAGTTAATAATTATTATAAACTTAATTAAATTAAAAATTAAGAAAAAAAAATCAAATTATTATAATAAAATAATATATTATAGTATAATAAATTATATTATAAAAAAAAGAGATCACAAGACGAATATTTTATCAGAAATAAAAAACAAGAAGATCAAGTTGGTAAGAGAAAAAAATTAATTTGAACAATTTGTAGTTGTTTAACTTTTTTCTTTTGTCTTTTTACAATTAAAAAGCTAATTCATAATAATCTCTAATAATTTTTGAATAGTTCGTTGTGTGTTTGTTGGGGTAATGAAAATTTCATAATTTTGTTCGTGGTATACTTATTCGAGAGAATAGAAATAACTACTGTACGTGTTCTCTCTCTCTCTCTCTCTCTCTCTCTCTCTCTCTTTTTCTCTTTCATCAGTCTACGCTCAGAGTATACGCTTTAAGACCTGGAAAAAAATCAATATTGTCCGCCTAGACATCCGCAGACGTTCGTCAGCTTCTTAAAGATTAATCTCGGTCTGCCCTCTTGATACGTGTACTCTATATCAGCTTCTATTTCTTTTTTTTTTTTATCTTATTATCTTCTTTTTCTTCCTCTTGATATATCAATTTTTATTTATATATCATATTGTTGTCTTTATTATCAACGAAAACGATGAAAAATTTCGTCCATCCAGTCGTACTGGCCGTTAATTTTGAAAACGGTAGTGCAAATTCATTTTTTTGTTGTTATTCTTTTGTTTCGAGAATAAATTAAAATTTTAGCTATTAGTCAATTCAATAAAAATTGATTAATTATGTCGAGTATGGGAATGGTTTTATTAATTTATCAAAATGTAATTTAATTGTATAAATTCAAAATACCCGATACACATGTTATATATATTTTATTTATTATCATTTATTGTCGTTCAGTTAATCGTTTATACATTTTTTTTACAGTCTTTCATGTAAAATTACTTCCTTACTAGCTTTTAATATCACTTAAAGGATACCCTGTGTATTATATTTTTCATTGAAAAAAAAAATAAATCGTGATCACCTTTAACAACGATATAATAATCTTGCGTTGGTTATTAAATAATTGACTTATTAAAATGTTATATTATTTTAGAAAAAAACAAAACACAAACATATATATATATATTTAAATCGAATAGTATTATAGTTTATTCATTAAAATAATCATACTGTACAGATCTTTTTGTTCTTCATTAATCCGTATTTTAATTCCTTATTCGAAATATAGATCGGAAGATAGAAGCAAGAAACTTCGTTCGTTCGTTCGTACAGTTCTGAATTTCATGTAGAATTTCAAAAGCGGAAACTGGAATACTCGAGGTTGCCATCTTGTGGTTGAGAAGATTATAAAGGAATCCGCAAAACCACAATGCAAAACCTTTTGTTTTTGAAAGTTCATGAAATACTTTCTGTCTCACCGACACCACCACCACCACTACCATAACTCGTCTTTGATAAATCATTATCCTATCTTTTGAATGATTTGTTTCATTACTCATGTGTGGGTATATTTTCATTCTTTGATAAACAATTATTGGGTACTATTAAGGTTTCCTATCAATCTTATGGTGGGATCATCACCACCATAGAATATAATTATACAACTAAGGTAAGACTGGTGATATTAACCAAGAACAAAATTGATTTATTGATTCAAGTGAGGAACGTCTGAATGATGATACTCGTTTTGTCTACATTTTTTCATTATGTTTTTGTTTTTATTTTTTGCGAATGAACTCTGACGATGGTAACGGTACACATGGGACATACATAAAATGTTATGAAAAGAAACGTAGAGGCAAGAATGACGATGTTACGTTTTGTTTTGTTGTAATTCTGATAACGAAACGTTTTATGATCTATATAATTGTATTTGATAAAATATCATGTATTTTATTATATTTTATTATTGTTATAATAATATATATTGTTTATTTTGTTAAATATGAAATATTAAAGTAAGGTGTACGCTATTCTTTTTCTTTTTTATATTATTTCTCGAGAGAAAAAGACGAAATTGTAAAAATGTATCCCTGTGAATATATGTTCTAAAATATTTTTAATAAAATCCGGTGGTAGACTACTTTCAAAAAAGATAGTTCGATTCGACAATATCCGTTGGAACATCTTTGTATTACCGACAGGGATGAAAAAGAAGTTGAAGGGTGAGTTACATTATTAACAGACCACTTATTCCACTTCCTAGTAGGATATATCAAAGTGAACGTTTTTACAAAACAACAACGTGAACCAACTGGTGAACAATTTTAATAGAAACTTCAAATGCTCTGATATTTTTTGTTCGCGGGGCCACGGGATTGGGTTTATTTTCACTCATTTCAACGGGGGAAAAATAATTGATGAACTTTCAAACTTATTGTTAGTTACGAATTTATGTTACACGTATCAACGTTTAATACAATTTAATTAATAATCCAACGATTTATACGAAGAAACATTTTTTCTATCAACCCTGAATATTTTAGAAAAAAAGAAATTAATCACGTAAAAAAAATAATATATAAAGTATAGACACAAAAATATATTTAATGATATAATAGTAAAGTTATATAGCGAATCTAAATAAAGTAATTGAACATTTATAACGTATCGATCGAAATCTCGACATAACAATCATGATGTTGTAGATGGATATAGTTTGTCTGGTACGGTTAATGATATCCTTAGACGTCCTTTGTGAGGGTTGCAATCCCTTGGGATGAAGTTAGATCGATCTGGTTAACGAAACTCGTGGTCTTTGGTGTGTCTCGACTATTCACCATAATCACACCATTTACTGTTTCCTATCCTCTGAATAGTATTGGTCTTTGATGAGTACTTCGACAATAATTCCAAATAATTCATCAAATTCAATTTGTAATCAATATTTCAATCATTTTTCCTCCCCATGCTTTAAAGTAACATTATCTCTGGTTAAATTCAATTAAATATTCTATATTTTTCACGTAAATATATTAACTTGTCGTATTATACTTCTTAATCACGTATTGCATAAAATATTTGTATATAGTGTTAATATAATGATTGGAATAATCAATAATTTAAAGTGACTATTTGTTCTTTTTAATTACGATACATCTAATTATAGTTACAGTTATTTCTTTGCGTATATTTTTAAACCTTTGAATAAGAATGGTTATTAATACCAAAATAAATATAAATAGTATAATATAATATAATATAATAGATTTACAATATGTAGTACATATAATAAAGCAAAAAAATATATATATATATATGTAATAAATGTATAATATTACAGCTATTTATAAATAAACTGACATGTATGTATACACATATGCACATAAGCAAGCATTTTGATAAAAACAACAGAATACAAATTTTAATGAAAAATAAGTCAAATTGAATGATACAATGACATGTTACAAATGAAATAATACATACGAAAAATACGTGGTTATTGACTTGTACGTAAAGGTACGTTTGTAAATAATAGTAATAATTGACTTTTACTCATATTAAAGGTTTGTTAGATGTTTCAATTAGCATACTCAAGTGTTTTCTATTTCTTGCTTTGAACATTGAATGAGAGTGTATCTCACCGAGATCTCATTTAACCGAAGACTCGAGAAATTCATCAACAGACAAGAGAATTGCTTTGCGTCAGGGTAATATCCCAATGGTATGGAATAAATACTCGTATTTGCGAGATCATTTTCCAAATGATCGATCTCGGTGTGCGTTATACTAACATCAATTTTCATTACATATTCGGTTTAGAACTAAGTTTATTCGTATTTTAATAACAAAAGTCAAATAATATTAATTTATATTTTCTATTCAGCTTCTTTAAATGATTTAAACATATTTTGTGCTCGATGTTTAATTTTTTTCCGATATCATGATTGCAAATATAATTATAAAAATGTATATTTTACTTAAATCTTGTTTCATTTAGGTTTTTCAATGAAAATGATCAATCAAAACGAGATGTATATTTGATATCAAAGTTTTCGAATTGAAAATGTTTGCAAACGAATTTTCCATCACATGCACTTCATGTTCATAAATATTATTAATGATTATTAATTCAAAGATTAGCATGATATGTTATATTAATTAATAATTAACGCGGTTATTATAATATCTTAATAATATAAATTAGTACTATATTATTATTAACATAGTTCAATATATTAGCTGTATAAATATTAGACGATCTATATGAATAAGCATAATTTGTTAATCAATATAAAAACAAAATATTCGTACACATCTCTACATACATTTTATATATTTATACATGCATATAATTGAATAAATCATTCATTTAATCGTTATAATTATTTGATTTTTTTCAGCATTGGCTGGACCTGGGAAAAACGGCGATCAAACAGGTGAAAGGTTTGTAACGAATATTTAAATGTATTATTAAAAATAGATTTTTTGTTTTCGAATAAATCGATTTATCCATATATTTCCAAAAATCACATCAAATAAAAAAAGAAAAAAATTGGAACGACGGTAAAGAAGAAAGATAGAAAGAAAAATAGAAAGGGTATTAGTAATCATACTGTTTTTATTATTGTTATCGTTATATGAAAGATACTATGAAAGAAACCAACTGTCTAAGGCCAAGAAAATTCGATCGTTAAGTCGTACCTTTTTGTCTTTCCTTTTTTCTCTTTTTCTTTCTATATACCCAATTACGTTGGGTCGATGTCATATGAAACTTTTAGATGGGTATGACCCTGTGTACAGGTTGATATGATCGTTTCTAGACAGACAAAATATGACAAATGGATTGTAAATTAGTTATAATATTTCGTTGTCCTATATTTATTCGAGAAAATTTGATTTAAATTAAAAGAAGATAAAAAGAAAAATAATTTAATTGATATACTTAATCGTTAAATGTTTCTTTTTATTTCTATGAGATTTGTGTTGGTTCCTTTTTGCCAATAAGGGCACTTCAATTTTTGTTATAGTTTTAATAATTATTTTAATAGAAAAAAAAAAAAAAAAAAAAAACAAATCATTACTTTTGTAATCGTTTTAAGTTTATCTTTTAAAAGATTAGAAAAATGTTCTCACACTATTTTCTTTGACAGTTTAGATAATAAAGCGTTCCCGTTGAAATGTCTCACATGCGAATCTTTCATGTTCGCCGAAGCATAAACGTTTTTCAAGTCCCACGGAGTCAATTTCAATGAGTATCAAGTATACATGTCTATGCTATGTAACATAAAATAATACATACGTTGATTTATCGTTTGTTTCGAAATACGATCTTCGTGAAACTCTTAGGATCAAAATTTCCATTAAAATTTGTCTATGTCATTTTTTTTGTTTTCAAGCAAATTATTCTAGAAATGGAAGAAAAGTAAAGCCAATGTTTAGAAAGAAAATATTTAAATGCATTTTTCATAAATTTCTTCTCCTACGAAAGTTAGCTATTTGCTTTTTTTTTTTTTAATAAAAATAAACATTTATCACAAAAAAACATCTCTGTTTTTTTTCTTTCTTTCTTTTTTCATCGTTGAAAGTAGTTACATATTTGTATAATTAAAAGTAACTAATTATACTTTTTCTTCATATTTTCTTTCCCTTTAATTAAAAGTAACTTTTAGTGCATCGTATATCTTCAGGGTATAACGAAAATTATTCTTTTGATAATTTTATTGTTTTCAATTGTTCGTTAATATTTTAATTTCTTTATTTACTGATATAATTGTACGTTTGTAACTAAATTGAAATATATTTCTATATATACGCTTCCTTGAAATATTTTAAATTTAATTCTGGCGTAGGTTAAGAAAAAAAATATTCTTCATCACTAGTACAATAGTTTATGTTAATTTGACTCATAATCTATTGAAAATGATTTTCAAGGTCTTCGCAAAATTGAACTTTTATCGAATAAAAATTGATCATCTCTCAAAATGTTTTTTACAATGAAATTGTTAGTTCGATTTTAATCATAAGTTTATTATAATAATCATCGAACTAATAGGAATATGGATATGTATGTCAAATCAGAAGCGTCCGGCTTCTCTCACCGTGACTATGTTCCAGACATGGACCCGATTTTGTTTAGCTTTCGTGTGAAATTTTATCCACCCGATCCTCTGCGGTTGAAAGAAGAGATTACGAAGTATCAGGTTTACCAGCAACTGAAAAGGGACCTTCTCCATGGCCGATTATACTGCAGTCCTGGTGAAGCTGCACTACTAGCAGCATGTATAGTTCAAAGTAAGTTAAATTTAATATATAGCATAGTATAATACTCTTAAATCCTCTTTATAAACTAATTTTCTAATCTAACGATTAACTATTCAACATTAAGTTGATCCAGAAATTGATAATGGATAACTAACGGCACATAGCCATGTAATTATTTGTATAAATGTATATAAATTGTGATCTGGACAAATCGGAGATGCAAAGGGTTGCTCATCTGGCTTCTTATGACATAGGCAGAAACCTATTGTTAACGATATTATTCTTTTATACTATTTTCATCATAATATCGATGTTTTTTATACATCTTATTAATTGATTTGCTAAATTTTATATGACGGTATTAAATATATTTGTTTGGATCAATTTATATTATTTGAGCTACTTATTTATTAATCCTTTAATTATAAAAGTAATTTCTATATATGTATTGTATAATTAATGATACAATTTTCGTGAATAAAAATCAAAGGACGGTAAAAAATTCTTATTCTACTTTTGACTATGCTCAAGTTTCATAAACGCATAATCAATAATTCATAAACTGATTATTTGAGCTACTTATAAGATTAAAAAAAGAAAGGGAGAGGGAAAATGAGAAAGTAAGCAATCGATATTCTTTAATTCGATAACCTTTTTGATCTCAGGTGAACTTGGAGATTACGATCCCGAGATACACGAAGGGAATTACATCTCCGAGCACAAATTATTACTCAAACAGACTGAGACGATTGAAGAAAAGGCTATGGAACTTCATCAAACTGAATTAAAAGGATTCACTCAGGAAGAAGCTGAGACACGTTTTCTTGGTTTGGCCTCGAAATTAGACACCTACGCTGTGGATCCGCATCCGGTCAAGGTAATCGAACATTTATTTTTTAATTATTTTTCATTCCAATTTCTATTTTTCTATCTCTCTTTATATTTGAACATTATTGTGTTTATTTATATTTTGTCTTTTTCTGTTTTCCCATTTTTCTTCGTAATTTCTTTAATCATCTTTCATGGTTTCATCGGAAATGGTTTTCATGATTTTTCTTTACAAAAAAGTACTTTAAATCAATCTATCGGAGTTTTAACGAGTTTCAATCTCTTTTACAATCAGCTATAGCAACGTAATTGATTCATTTCATTACGATCTCTTACTTTCTCTCTCGCTCAACTTGATTTCCATTCGATTCGAACGCTCTTCCTTATTATTTATTTTCTCTATCACTCGTTCGATTTAATTTCTTTTTTTAGATACGGTTTTTTGACAACGGCAAATGGAATACGTGCTGAGAAATAAATTTTTAATAATCATTGGTTTATATTTTCTCTCTCCCTCCCTTTTATTCAACTTGTTTTTCATTTAATCGAAATTGATAGGAACAATCTCATAATAATAATTATTATTTATTTTAATCTTGGTACTCCTCGAAACGAGTTTCTCTTTTTTTATTAATGATTTCGATTTTCATGTTGACGATGAAAAATCGAACAACAACAACGACCTTTGATAATCATTTTACTTTTTGTTGATTTATTTTCTACGTTTTTGTTTTAGATATATTTTGTTGGTTCATTGGGAAAAGAGAATAATTCGCAATGCAAATTTAACTCGAGGACGTATCGGTAAAAACATTCGACTATACCCTCTTTTTACTTTATTTTCCACAACTTATTCCTCGTGTCGTATTTAAAATTTATAAATTTTTATATATATGAAATAATTGAGTGATTGAAAAGGAAAAGAGGTGGAGGGGCTTCAAGGAAGATATTTAAAACAAAAATTCCGACAAGTATATAAATTATACATTGTCCTTTTTTTCAGTCCCTTTTCTTTTCAATAGCAAGATTAATCGAAGCACTTAAAATCAAAGTACATCGTGAATGAGGACACTATATTATTGCAGGCATACAGTCAATTACATAAATACTTGCATGAATGATACATATAGATACTATTATCTATACTATATCTAGAATGAAATATTTTACACGAAAAATCTCAGTTAGTGATTACAGATCGAAAATACGTCATGGATTAATGACGTTATCTTCGTATTTTGTGTGCGATCGTATTTTGTCTTAGAATTATTACTACAGCAGTGCACTACTCCAGAACGTAACCTTAAACTTCTTCACCTTACTTTATCGGTCTTTACAATGCGACTCTAGTAACACTTTCTCAATGTCAAATAGGATCGATGCGATTCGCAGTTATATTCAATTAATTATCAGTCTTTACATTCTCCTCCTTTTTTCTTTTTCATTTCGAACTTTCTATATTGTTTTTTTTTTTTTATTATTTCTTTTTCTTTGTCTTCTGCTTCTTCTTATTTTTATCCATTAATTTTCGTTTTATTTTATTTAACCAATTTTTTCATTTAATTTTTCTTTATTCTTATGTTAGATGGGTAAATGAGCTGTTTATTTTGAAAATAGTTTAACAATAAGTTCATTTGTCAATTATTGTTCGTTGTTAATTATACTAACATGTACCATCTGGAGTAGTTAGCTATCATAAAAAATATATTTTGACTTTCTTAATCATCTTACTTTTTTATTATTTGATTCATTTTTCTCTTGTTTCGTGTTAACTTGTGCAATTTTATTATATTTTTTCTTCTTTCATTTTTGTTCCTATTTTATTTCTCGTTGGATGATGGATTTTACAATTAGATCGATGTTCTAGATTAATATATTTTTCATTAATATTACAATGACGAAGGAAGGAATCAAACTTAAAGTTTTTACTTCGAATAAATTATTAATTATTATATTCAATATTTTTCCCTTCCTCTCTCTCTCTCTCTCTCTCTCTCTCTCTCTCCCTGTACTTTTTGTTTTTTTTTTTTCAAGTAAGAAATATATATTTCTTCATTACGTTCGCGTGACCATTTCACTTTTTTCACTACCTTACGTAATTTCTTTCTTTTTTTTTTTTTTTTACCGTAACGAACTCTATTTAAAGAAGTTTACAGGATTTAAATGTTCTCCTCGATACGCTACGTTGACGAAGCAAAACGATCTTCTGAGAGAGATTAACGTGTTAAACTATACAAATAAATTCACCAGCTGTTACAAGTTATTCCTTTTTTTTTTCTTTTCTTTTTCTTCTTTTTTGTTTAATTCTTATTTTTCATTTATTGTCAGATGTTTGTATAATTTTCTTTTGTACAAATATTTGAAATAAATCTTGCCAAATGATCATAATGATACTTTCAACAATTCATCGATAAGATATCACCAAATTTCATGAAAATAATTAAAAATAATTTATTTATTTTTTCAAGAGTAATTATATTTTCAAGATACAGACGAATAAAAATACTACGCGTAAAATACAACGTTGTATTTAAATGTACCGAATAAATAATTCCAAAGTCAAGTAAACGCAAAAATAAGAAATTCATTATATAGTTAACAAATGTTCCTCATTATCATTATAAAAATGCAATATAAATCAAGGTATACTAATTTGTTTCTTTTTGTTGTCATATTACAAAAATAGCCTTGTACACGTACATAAATACTCAAGGGGTGGTTAAATCGCGACATTTTTGTATAGAACTTCCGGATGTAGATAGGAAATAGCATGATGGCGTGATCAATTGCACAAACCAAGAGCCTCCTCTCTGTAATACGTTTCCTTTCGTGACGTTAATAGTTCTTCTTCTTATATCCGGCAATGCATTTTGTCCCGTTAGCACCGTGTTCGTTTCTCGTGCGTGTCCTTTCACGTGATACCTCATTCACCCATATTTTTTTCTCTTTTTTTTTTACCCCTCTTTATAAAGAAGAGAGGGAAGGCAAGATGTGATATATATATATATATATATATATATATATGCGCGCGCCTGTGTGTATGTTTCTGCACTATCGAACGAAACTTTTACAGTATGAATAGATTCTCATTTACGATCGAGCTTTTATATCACAAAGTTTTTTTTTCTTTTTTCTTTTTTTTTCTTTCTCTATGTACCATTTCCCAAAGCACTTTTTTCGATTCGCGTCTATTCCTCTTTCATAGTTATGAAACTTTCCTCGGAATGTATACCGTTACGTCAAATTAATCATTTTCTTTTCAGTATTAGGGAAGGGGATGTTTTATATAATATCAGTTAATTAGTTAAGACAAAATCTGTAACTTATTTTTAACGTGAAAGTTAGATCGAATGGTTTAATATTCTAACGTTTTGTAAGCATCATTAATATTCTTTTATTGATGAGTTCGAAGTATTTTGTTTTCTTTTTCTATTCGTTTTATTATATTCGTGTTTTATTATTTTGTCATATTTATTTTCTACTCGAAACAACGTAAGCCTATAAATAATCTCAGAATTTGATATAGAATTATTTAAATAATTTTCTAATTATTGAAAATATTTTCTTGTCAAATATTTCCATTATGTAGGAATTCATAATCGAACAATCGTAAAATAACTAATGTTAATATTATTACAACGAGTAGAATATTTTCAAGAAAAAAATCAACGACAATATATTTGATTGATGTAAAAACAAATATTGTGTTAATCCTTGTGAAAAAATATCCAAAATAAAAAGGTTTACGAGCGATTATTTTCTTTGTTCGATTGAATGAATGGTTGTCAAATCGATTATCATGGGATAACGATAACTCTCAATCATAAGGTTTCCTGTCTATGAGTGAAAACGTATCGTTAATGAATCTCGTAGATGGTGAATAACGATCGTGCTCAAACGAGCTGCCGTTGATTTACGATTTACATAAAGCAACCCATGCTAAATCAAAGCGACCGAATCTGTCGCGATTCAATGAAATTCACTATACTACTCAATTTATCTATATAATAATAATAATATATATAAAGAATTGTATGTTTTTATATATTGGGTTGGCAAGAAAGTAATTGCCGATTTTTAAATACTCCCATTTTAAACTCCCATTTTTGTAATACTCCTTAATGTTATGATTTTCTTATTATTATATACGTTATATATAATATTACGTATATAGCGTTATATAGCGTTAGAAAATCATTGCGTAGATATTATCTTAATGTTCTTTCTTTACTTCAATATTAATATGGAGTGCGAAAACGAACATTTTCGCAATATTTTGTTTTATTATTTCCGTAAAGAAAAGAACGCAGTGCAAACCGCAAAAAAGATACGTGACGTGTATGGTGATGAAGCCCTTAAAGAAAGACAATGCCGAAATTCGTTTGAAAAATTCCATTCTGGAGATTTTTCTCTTAAATATGACAAACGTTCAAGTCGACCAGTTAAGTCGAATACTAATTTTCCATGGTAACCCCTATGAATATCGGTCTACATGTAATAATCTTCTACTGTGAATTTTTAATCTGAATAATTATTGTTACGATTTAATCATTAATTATTATTATTATTATTTAAAATACTTTCGAAGAAGTAGATCTTTATGAATGTTTCAAATGTCAAGATCAATGATTTCATTAGATTTCGTATTTAAATGTTAAACCCTTTGAGAATTATTTTCGAATAGCTTTTTAGTAATCGACTTTTCTTCCATTTAAAATTCACTTTTATGTTATTCGAATAGTTGATAAATGACGAATGCTTTATCGTTTTTTTCTTCTTTCTCTTTCTCTAGTCAATAGAAAAAGGATCAAAAGAAAGAAAGAAAGAAAGAAAGAAAAAGAGATATTATGTAAAACATTGTCGAGAGACGAGGAAAATAATCGTGTCAAAAGCTATAAGCTCTCTTTGAGCTGTAAAGCTTTTTCTCTATTTCCGAGATTCTCCTTCTCTCTCTCTCTCTCTTTCTCTTTCATTTTTCTTATTTTTTTAAATGTTTTTTTATCACTTGTTTGTTTTTTTTCTGACACGTCACAGCGCTGATAATTTAACGCGGACAAAATTTTTATTAAAAAAAAAAATGTACGAAAAAAATGATAAAATAATGCGAAAAAAAAAATTAGGATTATTTGTGTAAGTTCACAGTTGATAGTTATACCGTGGACAGACTGTTGATATTCTTTTTGATCGAAGACTTTGAATTATTCATCGCATGATTGTCTTGCTTCGTCGTTGAAATCGTTCAAAATGGTAGGATTTAATGGGAAAGAAAATAAAGGAAAGAAATGGAAAGAGAGTGAGAGGGAGAGGAGGGGGGAAGATGCTGATGAGTTTAACGATTCGTGTAATCGAATTTTTTTTACTCCTTTTTCCTTTAATTGAATAATGACTTTTAATATTTGTTAAAATAATATATAAATATATCAAATATTCTTTGCATTGAAAATAATATGACATAATATAGGTGTACAATGCTAAATATAAAACCTTGTTACCACTTTTCCTTTTTCTTTTTCTCTACGATCTTCTTCGTTTCATTTCTTCGTTAACGTTAAAAGCATCGCTAAAATCAGCAAGCTAAGAACATTGGATTTTATCAGACATTTTTTTTTATCTTGATCCATGCGTAACAGTTTCTCAGTATATCATAGATAAAGAACCTTTTATGGTTAACTTTCTTCGTTAGCGTTGATTTAACGTTACAATTAATCTCAACATCGTTTCCGTTTTTCTTCTTCTCCATTTTCTTTTTTATATTTACTTTCTCTCTCTATCTCTGTCTCTCTTATTTCGAATTACTGTTCATTATCGTTAGAAAGCTTTTAGTCTTAAGGTTTAAGCATTAGTCTCAAATGATCTTTTTAATTCGAAATAAAAAAAAAAATATACATACACGCACACACAACTATATGCATTCATGTAAAATCTTTACCGATAAATTTTGTAACCTTCTACATTTTATTTTTACTTTTGAAATATAAAATATGTGCAAATAAAAACGACGTTTATCGTGATTTTAAAGATAACATATATTTGATAAAATGTTTCATCTCGATATTAATTAAAGTAAAAGGAATAAATTATTAATTAAACGATATCAGATCGAATTTGAATAATTATTTGTGTTATCTTCCTTTTCTTTTTATTTACAGGATCACAGAGGTACACAATTGTATCTTGGTATTAATCACTGTGGCATCCTGACGTTTCAAGGATCACGAAAAACTCACCACTTTCGTTGGTCGGAGGTACAGAAAATCAATTTCGAGGGAAAAATGTTTATTGTACATTTGACCATAAACGAGGTAAGATTCCTTAGAAGTATTTTAATAAAAAAAAAAGAATTATTCTCAAATATTCAAACTACTTATACATTTGAAAATTTTGTCAAAAACATTTGACAACAATTGATTTTGCGATTTATTTAATAATACAAACGATTCTAATGTAAATCGTAATACAATTAAATTTCTTTTTGTTTTTTTTTTTTTTTTTTTCAATTTCTCGACCACATATATTTCACATCGTAATTATTTTTATTGCAAAATAAATCGTAATATAAATTGTTGAAAAATGTTTTTTTGTTTTGTTGAGAAATAATTTATTGTTATCATCGGTGAAACATACGTGAAACGATATGTGTTAATAGAATTGTTTGAGATATAATATCCTGAAAGGATCGATTCGTTAATATGCATCCTCTATTAAGTTTATTATCGACAATAATAAATCATAGCAAAACGATGATCATTTGTAATATAGCGATAAGCTTGGATGGTTTCAAAAGTGTCTCGAAGCTATCAATCTCCATTTTAAATCAATTTCCTCTGATGCATATGTATGTGTATTTAGATGTATCTATGTATATACATGCATATTATGTATGTAAGTATACTAAAAGGATGCATTATACCGTCCTTTTTTTCTGAAATAATACTTTGCCACAATTCGCGAAATATTATATTTTTTAATATTAAAGATAATTTCATTGAAATTTTGATTAAGAGAGAAGAGACAATAAGATGAGAGACTAATGATTATTATTTATAATAATATTGAGATCATTTTTATTCGTTCTTTTTTTTATGTTCTCTGAAAATATTGCAATAAAAAAAAATATATTGTTCCATTTAAATAATCAAAATTGAGCTTCGAAGAAACAAATAACCTTGTTTATTATCTTATTTTTAACCATTAGATTCCTTTTTTACAATAGGGCAACTTTTTCCTTAGAAGTTATTTTTATAGATACGATTGTAAATACAAAAGATTGTGTTTTCATTTGGTCTACTCTATACATACAGGGTGTCTTATAATTGGTAGTAGTAATATCCCATTATAGAGGAAATAGTAATAAAACTATTCGAATAATTAATATTCATCAAATTTTTCTATCTACGAATATTTATAAATATCAATGGTGTTTTTTCCATATCCATGGATACTATAATTATATCCTATAATTATAAATAACAATATAATATTAAAATAATATTTATTATGAAAAAAAAGAAAAACAAAAATTCGTGAAAGTTTATTTCAAACAACTTTCTAAATTAAATTAACGAAATAATTAATAAAAAGAAAAAAAATGGAGAGAGAGAGAGAGAAAGATAGTATTGATACGTATAATAAAATAGTAAAAGTTTATTTCAATCAACTTTTCAAATGAAACCATTGAATTATTGAAGTAATTAAAAAAGAAACAAAGGGGAAATAATTATTGACGAATATATATACNTTTTTTTTTTTTATGGAGACAAACGATTCGCGGTCTAGAAAAATACCCCATGAAGGAAAAAACGTTTTTAAAATTTCCAATCGTTACTTTTTCATGACGTACGTTCACCTCTAACGAATAGTAATGACATTTTCGAACATGGAACTTTATTTTTAAAATGATTTTTTTATTATTCTTTTTCTTGTTCGTGCCAAGAGAATAAACTTAATCCCCGAGACTTCTTCTCTTGGGATTTAACGAAAGAATGAAATAACTTGTTACCAATGTATTGGTGATGTAACATTTGACGTCATTCATGGATTACACAAAATTTACTATTACTAGCAAACCTTTGTAATATATTAAGAAAGAACGGATTTAGAGATCTTATAAGTCTTTCATTTCAATTCAAATATATTATACAACTATATGTTACATATATATATATATGTAACATATAGTTGTATAATATATTTGAATTGAAATGAAAGACTTATAAGATCTCTAAATCCGTTCTTTCTTAATATATTACAAAGGTTTGCTAGTAATAGTAAATTTTGTGTAATCCATGAATGACGTCAAATGTTACATCACCAATACATTGGTAACAAGTTATTTCATTCTTTCGTTAAATCCCAAGAGAAGAAGTCTCGGGGATTAAGTTTATTCTCTTGGCACGAACAAGAAAAAGAATAATAAAAAAATCATTTTAAAAATAAAGTTCCATGTTCGAAAATGTCATTACTATTCGTTAGAGGTGAACGTACGTCATGAAAAAGTAACGATTGGAAATTTTAAAAACGTTTTTTCCTTCATGGGGTATTTTTCTAGACCGCGAATCGTTTGTCTCCATAAAAAAAAAAAAACAATAGGCTAGATTTAGTATATTTCCTAACCTTCGAGCTGTACCCAAATATTCGTGCACCGAATACGTTTTTTTTTTCTTTTTGTTTTTATTTCATCGTTCTTTAGCATTGACATAAATCACGTGATAAAAAAGATCGTTCGCCTATAACGAATATTTGGTTCGGAAGAAGGGTTTCTCGATTAAAATAATCCAATAGCGAACGACTACGACGACGACGAGGTTGCGGAATGGGATTACCTTTTTTTTCTTCGTATCGCGAAACTTTTCCTACTGTTCACTTTTGTTTGTTTGCAAAATGTTTCGGGCCGATTTAAAACGGTAATTGCGGTCTCTTCCTATCTCTCTCTCACTCTCTCTCTCTCTCTCTCTCCCTCGCTCTCTCTTTTATCAGTAAAACAGTAACACAACACACTAATAATGTTATAAGCAATCACTTTGTGTAAACTTTGACGCGTTCGATACGAGCCATAAAGTGGCATTATTAATTATATCTCTTCGAATGACCAATCACATGGTATTTCAAATTTATTCCATTAGTATTACTCAATTTTGGAAAGAGAAAAAACAAATATGGATTTGTCCTATTAATATTATACGATCTTAACTCTATATTATTTTCTTTTTTATACTAAATCTTTATTTTTTATATTTTCTTTTTAAACGAAACGAATATAGACATTTATTTTAATGAAAAATATAAATATCTAATTTAAAATATAAATTAATAATCGTTGTTTTTTACGATTTTCAATTATTTTTGTACAGATTCCAATTTGTTTGTTTCTTTCTTTTTTTTCTTAAATATTTGGATGAAATAAATGAGGCATTTGTATTACATTAGTGATTAAAATACTAAATAATTAAAAAATGATATCATAATCAATTAAGTAAGTAAATCGAATGAGATTGATATGAATGATTTGTAACAATTTTAATATTGAAATTGAACAATTTAGACAATTATATTTTAAAGAATAATTAATAACAAGTTGAAAAACCTATCTGATGAAATTCACTTGGAAATATATTCACAATTTAAGAAAGTTTTACGTTCTAATTAAGTCCAGCGTTGATTAAGAAATTAAATTAAATCAAAAAAAAAAGAGAAAAAAGAAACGAGTCGTTAATTATAATAAAAAAAAAAATAATTCGATAAAAAATGAAATCAATGAATTTAAAAGAATATCGTGATTTTGCTTGAATTTTATTACAAATGCAACTGTAGAAAAGAAAAATAATTTTTGGGGGAAAAAAAACATTAGAATTATTCTAATATATTTGAAAATGAACTAGAATAATTGCAAAGTCTTTCATACGGTTTGACGAGTCTAATTGAAGCTTCAGGGATTGTTTACGTAACTCGCTGCTCTTTCCCTTTCTCTCTCTCTCTCTCTCTCTCTCTCTCTCGCTCTTTATTACTCGTGTATATCTATGTAGTTGAAAAAGAAAAGCTATTATATATATATATATATATATATATATATATATACATGTATATATATACATATGCATTGATTACGACCAAAGTAATCCCATTATTTTCCACTGCCGGCCGCTCTGTCCAGGACGTGAGGACAAAGGTGAGTCGTTTCTTGGCAGTTGCACGTGCTATTTGTGTCCAAGTAGGTAAAGAAAAAGAAACTTAGAATAATTTTATACGTATATCATTTTTGTTTATTTGGTTAAAATACAGGTAACTCTCCTATAACACGGAATATATCTAAATTCTAGAAAAAATATCGTGTTGTGTGAAACAGTGTTATACGAGGTCATTTGCGCGTCATTGTTTTAAGATAATTTACATTTTTTGAATATATGATTAAATCAAAATATTATGTTATGTACAGTGTATTCTACAAAGGTTTTTACTAATTTTCTTATCGTATTATAGAATACCGTGTTGTAGGAGGGCTGTATACATATAATATTATATTTGAAAAAAATCAAATATATGAATAAAAGTAAAGAGAGATTGACAAATTCTTCTTCGATGTTGTGTGATGAATAAACTTTATTAATGAAAAAAACAAGAAGAAAAGAAAACATAAATTGTTGGCTTTACGAATTTTTATGATATTACATTTCGTTTCTTTCCTTTTTTTTTTTAACGTATAATCTGTATAGTGTATTTGTTATATTACTTTTCTTTTTTGTAATATTATTTATCGAATTGAAATTATTTTTAGCGAACGGTTATGAACGGACGATTTTCTCGGCTGGATGTTTTAAACGACAGGACGAGTTGGAATTCTTTTTTTCTTTTTTTAAAAAGTAGTTCGTAATTAAAAAAAATAGATAATTCCTTTAGATACTTTCTTTTTTCTTTCTTTCTGGAAATTTATATAAAATTCTATAAAAAAAAATGTGGATCATGCAGTCGAGTATATTTGTCAAGGTTATTTAAATATTGTAAAATTGATCGAGACTATTTGTGAGTTGCTAGTATTTAAAATAAATGATTAAATAAAACATTTCACATAATGATCTACAATCAATTTTTCTCTTTCAAGGTTATCTTCATTTAATTTGTTTGATTTAAAAATGATTAATATTAGAAATAATAAAATGAAATAGTAACAAGGTTTTTTTTTCTTTTTTGAGAAAGTAATGTTTGATAAGGAGAAAGACCAAACAAATTTCTAGGAAAGAAAATGAATATTCATACGTTATAGAAAAATGCAACGATCAAGGTCACATCAATCCTCGTATCATTAGGAAAATTGATTCAACAAATTTATATCAAAGACAAATTAACGTTTATTTCTCCTAGACAATTATTTATAATGATCTATCTTTCTAATTGTTTTAGTCGAATTCATCGAATTAAACTCGAAATTGTGTGGGTCATGTAAACAAAGTAAGGTTCGTAGACCATGAAAGAGAGAGTCAGAAACGGTGCTGATTATTTGTCTGTGTTTCGTATTCGTTGGAGCATGTTTCTGTTTACATAATTACCAACAATTAGAATATCACGACGATAATGTGAAATTTTGTATTTGTATATAATATGTGATGTGTAAATTTATTAAACGTTTATTTTTCTAAGAAAAATCATCGATAAATTTTCTATCGAAACTTATTTTAAAATATTCACATTTTTTTATACGAATTACTTACTGTGAATTAATATTTATAATATATATATATATATATTTAATCAATTTATCTCTAAATGAAGATACCCATAGATATTCACAAAAAAAAAAGAATTCGACTATTAAAGATTTATTTAAAAGTTAGAATTACAAACTGACCTTTTCTTAAAATAATCGATTGGAAATATTTATTTAATATTTTTGTTTTTTCAAAATCAATTTTTAATATTGCAATATGAAAATATGACTTTACTAAAAAAACAATTATAATATTACGTTTTGCAAACCATTTATTCCGAAACCTTTTATTATTTCATTTTGTTGTATTTAACTTAAAAATCAATGATTGGTTTAATTGTCCTATCGTTTTCATTGCTCACTTGAGACGAATCGCCGTCCAAATCCGATCGGATTAGCGTAACAAACGCATCGTAACTTATACGTCTCTAGAAACGTATGCAGATATATACTTAAATACATACATATGTGTATATATATATATGTCTGTATATAGTCGTAGTTCGCTAATTATCGCATTTATGTACCGAGAAAAGTACCATACGTAGGGTTGGAACTTCGCTAATTAAAAGTTCACCAATCTCAACGCGAATTTAATTAAAAAGTATCGGTCTTCTTAAGATACTTCTTTTTCCCTTTTTAATATTAGAAATTTACAAAATTACAGATCTATACAAACGTTCGGTGTATCGAAAAAAAAAGGAAACATATCGTCTTCGAGATTGGACATTAAAAAAATAATTTATAATTTTCTGTTTCATTCAAATTCATAACATTTTGAGAATATTATTAAAAAAAAAAAAAAGTAATTCAGACAAAAACCTTGACTCTAGAAAATCCGTAAAAATGATATAAAACATCGTGTGTTTTTTTTTTTTTAAAGTAGGAAAAAAAATAATATCATGCGCGAAATGTTGATAATATTTTTCTCGGTGCATCCGGGGGAACCGTAAAGAAGCCGTAATTAAAAAACCATAGAGTAGAGACGTTTTAGAACAGTATTGTTTCCCACGATTTTCAGAAAAAGCACACAGTTGGATTTAAGTGTCCCACAGGCTCAAATTGCCGTCACGTATGGAGATGCGCCATCGAGCAAATGCTGTTTTTCACGTAAGTATGTCGTACTTTATGTGTACGTCTTAGTTATATTTTTATAACAATGTTTTTCTATTTCTTTTATTTTTATTTATACAATATTAGGTCTAAGGGAAAAAACGAATCCATATAGAATAAATACAGGATAATAATAATTAATAAATAAACGTAAAAATAATGGATAAATAAACGTTTAAATAAACGTTTAAATAAACATAAAAATAATGGATTCCTTTTTTTTCCTAGATCTAATACAATAATTAATGAATCTCTATATATGATTTTGCTTGCAATATAAACTTTCAATATTCTCACACACACTCGGAAGCATATTTTAGTATTATTACATTTTTCAAATTGATACAAATTTGATGGCAGAAGAGCATTTTCTTGTTAGACAAATATAATTTTTACTCAAATGATCAAAAATTGGTTTCACAAATATTATTATTTATTTTTTTAAGTATTTTAGTACCTGGTTCATCATCTTCTGTATCTTATTTTTTTTATTTTTCTTATAATAAAAAAATCTTTTGCAATAAAGTTTATTATAATATATATAGCAATTTCAAAAATGAATAATCCTACAATATTTTTCGATTTATACAAATTTTGTAATATCGTATTACAAGATAATATTGATTGTTTTAAATTGACAACGTGTTAAGAATACACTTGTGACTCATTATATATAATAATTAATTCATTTAGCAATAGAAAAGTCTGATATTAGTATTAATTAATAAATTAGATAAACAAAAATGGTTCACTTTTAATATTACGATTGCTAGATCGTAATTTTAGTTAGAGATCATAGATCAGCTTAGCTTTTACATTAGATTATTAATTAGTTCATTTTGAAGTAGCCTGCCGAGATATTTTTTCTTATTTTTTGTTTTTTTTTTTTCTTTTCTTTCTTTCTTTCTTTATCATCGTCATGAAAAGAAAAATGAAGTCGTACGATGAAGAATTTATTATCTACCTCATGTAACAAATTATTACGAATTTTTCAATTTCTTTATTAATAATGTACAGAGTCTTTCGCCTAACTCGACCACCGAGAAATATCTCGTTTATTTCATCCCATAGAAAAAAATGTTAGAGGAAAAAAAATATTCTGTTCGAAGACGCCGATATAGTGATGGGCCGAATTTCTTTTGCAAGGTCGTTTTTTTCGAGATATCAAGGTCATCGTATTTTTTTTTAAATGGGACTATAATATAATATTTACAACAATACAATTTTTAGATTAAAGAAAAAATATGTTGAAGAAAAAGGTAATACTATAAAAATAAAATATTATAATAAATCACAAAAAGAAAATATAATAATTTACACGGAGGTAATTAATAATTTAAATAACGAAGTAATCATATTGTTTCAAAAGGAAACTAATATTAATGAAGACAAAAATCTGATGACAGTTTATAATAAAAAAACAAGCGAGAAGAGATTGCGTTGCATATTGATTATTAATAATTTCAATAACGAAGTAGTAATGTTTCGTTTTTTTAGAAAAAATTATGATTTTATATCTTGACTATATAATATTTGTCTATTAATTCTCATGAGGTTCATTAACGTTGCCGATGCAGGTCGATGCATTTCTACATGCAGTTCGATCCATGCACTATGCGTTTTAGTTTAATTCAACGTTGTGCAATAGTTCGGTGCATCGATGCGAACGACACATATGCATCGATCTAATTGGATATCTCGAGGTATACCACTGGACTAGCTAAACCTGTCTATTCGTTTAGTATACACCCACGTTATAGTGAACGTCAAACTGTAATACTATCTACTATCTCGATGCAAAAAGAAAAATAGAAAAAAAGGAATTTGATTTTCGATACTATAGATGTTGTTGTCAATATTACTTGGGATTTTTAAATTAATTTTGTGTTTTTGTGTTGATTTCTAATAACGACAGTTTAAGTTTTACAAGATTTATTACATCTAGTTTATTTATTTTCTTTTTTAAGATTTTTCTCTAGTCTAAAATTATATAATATTCTTTTTCTGTATTTATTTTTTTATTTATGTTTAAATATTTGTCTCTCTCTTTTTAAAATTAGATTTATTATTTCAAATAATAATTATTTTAAATTTTACAATTGTTATATCTTTGACTCTTGTACTAAATAATATTTTATTAACTAATTTGAAGAGAGAGAGAGAGAGAGAGAGAGGGAGAGAGAGGGAGGAAAGTAATTTGATTTAAGAACTATATCTCATCGTTTATTCATTTATTTCTTTATAAATTCTACTATATTTTAAAATAGATTGGTAGAAATGTCATTAAAGTTTTTACGATTCCAAGTGATTCTATTAAAAATAAAATATAACTATACGTAGTGGATAATTTTAGAAATTTGTTTTCCTTTCTAGTCTCTAATTTTCTTCTTTTTAAATATTTATTAACGAAACGTTAATGAAACTTTGTTTTCTATTGAAGTTTTCTCTAAAACGTGTCACAAGTTCGTAAAATAAACTAATTTGATATACGGTTATGTTATTACCATTTAGTTTGGTGAAATAAAAGAAAAAGAAATATTTATGTTAGTATAAAGTCGGAAGAACGAAGTGTAAAGAAAATTTATCGTTGCTTGTATTTATGAGAAAGAAAGATATACGGGTGTTTCTCACCGATCGAGTTTTACGAATCGGGTCAAAGCCTTTGTCGGTTTCTCTGAGGGTAAAAGTGCAATGTGCAACGACCATTCCATTTACTACACACACATCTATTACATAGAGATACATATAAAATTATCCTATCTTATACAAGGTGTCCCAGTTCTTTTTTCTTTTTCCTGTAAAATTCTACCAATTTTTTCTATAAATAAAAATAAGAAACCAAAAAAAACACACGTTCCATAAAGATAAGCTATATAAAAATGTTTTATTAAAAAAGTTCTAACAAGAAATACGAAATGAAAAATACGACAACTGTTTTCTTCTTTGATATGATTCCAAACGGTAGTTTTAACAAACCGAATGAAAATGTATTATATTTAAAAAAAAGGAATATAAAAGCATTGAATACGATAAATGAACTATTTGAATTTTGATATAAGACACCAAAGCTGGAAAAAAAAGAAAATTAGAATAGGCAAAGAACAAATCAGACAAATAATTATAGCGTAATATCATTTGTTCGAATATTTTTGTTTATGTTGAAAAAGGTTCTGCGAACCTGATAAAATAAAATCACTGATTTAATATTATATATACTGTATATATATATATATATACGCGTATATAATAATTTAGTGAGGAAGAGGTGATTATAATATATATTTAAATAGTTTGTCAGGATGATGGGCGCACTGACTAATCATTGATTGAGGATGAAAGTCTGATATACATATATATTTAATCTCACATAAATTCACTTAACATAGGATTTTCACAATAACATAATCGTAACCATAAGATAAAAATAAGGCATAAGACATAAGAATACATGAGATATAAGACATATTAAGACTACTTTTTTCCTTTTTCTCCGTTGTTATATCCTATGTATCGGTCATACCCCCGATGGAAGGGGAAAAGATCCATCATTGATCATCAATCAGTCTTTCTTCTAAGCATAAGTGACGTCTTAGAGTGGGAGTACGTTCAAAAAGTTCTCTCAGTTTCAGACTGGCCTATAAGATATTTCTCATAATCCCAAACTAATAATATTTATTAAAATATTCCTTACACGTGTATATATTGATTTATCATAAGATATATTATATCTTATATTATGAATATTCTATTTTTCAATAATGAAATTACTTGGAATAAATTTGATTTGTGTTTGTTTGAAAACAATAGTTTGCCGAAAGCATCTGACGCACCTGTGGTCAGTGGAGGATCAATATTCTCTTGGGGCACTAAATTCAAATACACAGGAAGAACGGAAAGAGAAGTTTTAGAGGAGACGGGTCCACTTCGAAAAGAGGAACCACCTATTCAACGTTGTCAAACGACGTGTCTTAGAAGAAAAGCAAGCAGCGTACCGGCCACCCCTAGCACCCCTAGTCAGGACCTTGTGGAAATACGTTAGTATTATTTTTATAAATAATACTTTTATATATATGTTTAATTTTATAATAATAAATTAAACTAATATTTTGTTATCTCTTTCTCTCTATTAACGTTAAACGTATCACGTATCAAATGACCGTCTCTCTCTTTTTTTTTAAATTATATATAATTAATATTGAAAATATAATATGATTATAACATTATTTTTGTTGTTTTTATTTCTTTTTTCTTTTAATACTTCGATTCATTTTACTGATTTATTATTTTAGTTTAAACATGAAAATATTGAACGGATGCATATTATTTTAAAAATCTATTTTATATTATAATTTTGGATAATTCCATCTTAAGTCACGCGTCGATCTAATAAAATCAAATTAAAAAATAATACAACGCATATTATAATAATTTCTGTTAGTTTATATTAACATTCTGGGAATGTGTATATACTTATAATGTTTTAAAAAAATATACATATATTTTTTCGTAAATATTCATACGTCGAGCGAATTTAAAGAGGATACACGTTAAAAAAATCGTAGAATCGTTGCATTAGAAATGTATACCAAGAATTTGACATATATAATACACACGTATTATAAATAATCCCATTGTATTTTAACTTCGATCAAAATATTGTTCGTTGAATGCGAGCATAAACGTATATAAATATAAAAAATAAAATTTATAAAAATAAACAAATATAACAAAATCTTCGTAATCGGAATTATTTCGAAAAATCATCTATGGCATATATGACGTTACAAAAATGAAAAATCTTTTTACGATTTGTGACGTAAACAGAAGATAATCCTCGAATATACGCGCGTACGGTATATTCGTTGAATACAAAATAAATGTATAAAAATAAAGAAAATATAATAATTTTAACGATAGAATTAATTTATCAATAAGATTACAATAGGATTTTTGAATAGGTTATTCCAGTTTACCACGTAGTTGTCACAGTGCGGGATTGGATGGTACCGGAATGTCCGAGGGTGGTACCGGAGTACCTCTCAGTTCACCCTATTGTCCAGATAATACCTTGCCACTCCTGGAGACCGTGTCGGAGGACCAAGAGATTCATGCAAGAAGAAACAATGGTTGGTCTATATTTTTTATCTATTTTTTTCTCTATGTTTGTTTGTTTTATCTATCCGTGTTTGCCAGTTCTTTTTACAATTTTTACTATGCCTTCCGTTTATTTTTTATTATTCACTCGTGTGAATGTGTTTTTTATTCAAACATGTTATATGAATGTACAATAAAATTAATTAAAAACATAAGGAATGTATTTTTATGGGGTTTTTTTCTTATTTTTTGTTCTTTTAAAGATTCGTACGTATGAAATTATGAAACTACCCCACCCCATTATATATTATGTGCATATACACAATCAGAGGAATTAATTAATGTTAATACGATAAAGTGTCTTAGATTGTTTTTTATATATTAACAAATAAATTTATACTTATTCGTATTAATTGTGGCATGAATTACTTTGCAAGAATATGTTTGCAAGGAAATAAATTTAATTGATTATTATTTGTTATTAATTTTTATTGGAAGATTTACTGTACTCTCATATAACATACATACGTAGATATTGATTTTATTGATAGTTATACCTATTTTTGATTATAAAAGTAACCCAAGTCCAATGTACGATCATTAATTTTGTTATATTATATTAAATAACTCTGAATTAATAAAAAACAAAACGAAATATATATACATACGCGCATAGAAATATTCGACTCGGGTTATTTTTTATAATTATTCATGCATAAATAATACTCGAACGAGCATTTTAATGTTTAATTTTTAGAAAAAAACGTGAGAATGACTTTTTTTTCTCTTTGAGCAAATTTAAATGAGTCAACGTTGAATCGTGGACAGAAAATCTTATTATACTTATGGGAAAAAGAAAGTAATAATTACCTTTTCGATCATCATCGTACGATTCAACGACTCGTGAAGATTTTAAAAGAGGAATGCATGTACGATATGATCACGTTTTAGCCCGATTGCATGAAACAATAGATATTAAATGAACAAACGAACGAAATGGTTAGATAAAAGAAGCAAAAAATAAAAAGAAATAGTAATTAAAAACAAAATAAAAATATTCGGAAGAAAAACGAGAAAAAATATTCCTCTCCTCGCTTCGTACATTTTTTTTTTTTATGAAAAAATGAAAAGAAAAATAAGAATAGTAATTAAAATAAATCGAGGTCGTAAATAAATTGTAGAAAAAAATACGTTTCGTTCGTTCTATATATCTATTTATTTATGTGTGTGTGTGTGTGTATATATATTTGTACATAACTGTGTATATTTAATTAATTAGATCACGTTAACAATCGTTTTTTAAAGACACGAAACATTTTTTCTTGAACATGACGTGTCTTAACGAGTCATGACGATGAAACATGCTAAAGAGGAAGAAAGGGAGAGAGGGAATATATTGATCTAAATTTTAACGAATAATTATATTACCGTTATTGTCAGATAAAATTTACATTTTGCGATTGATAGTAATTCTACTCGAGGTAAATGGATTATTTGTACAAATATTTTTAACTAGAAAAACTAAGAGAAAGAAATAAGACAAAATTAATTTTTAAATAAATATCAATAGTGTAATAATAAACTCTTTATAAATTTATAATTTCTCATATATTAATTATAT